TTCTATAGTATTTTATTTTTAAATAATATTTGAAAAAAATGATTTAAACCTTAACATTAGAATTTATTTCACTAACAAATTAATATTTGTAATTAGTATATTTTATGTAGTTATTAATAGAATTTTAATATATTCACACACTTTTAATTTTTAGAAAATTTAAACAAATATAGCAGTATGTCTTTAGATATAAAAGATCAAAGGGCATTTATTTTTGGTGCACACTGCACTTGGTGCACCTCTCTATGATATCTCAAAATTTTACTAGGGTAAACCCTGTTGTGTAACTAATAAAAGATACTCTCTGTAAAGATTTTGCCTGAACCCAACCTTAATTTTAACCCTAATCTAACCTTAACTTTAATTTAATTCTTATTTATATTGATTTCGCTATAGTTTTCTATAGGGTGCACCGATGTGCACCCTGCACAAAATATAAATTCTCAAAAATAAAATAGAAATTAAATAAAAATTTTAAAAAAATTAAAAATATTAAAACACAAAATTTTAAATAATCCCAATCCAGGTTTGTCTGAGTCATGTGAACCAAATTTGATTCATTTGAACAAAATCCAGGTTCATTTCAACCCATTTCGAGTTCATTTGGGCCCAAATCGAGTTCAATTGAACCCAAGCTGAACCTAAGTCAGGTTCAATTGAACCCAAGCTGAGTTCATTTGAACCAAAATATAATTTCAATATAATTTCGCTCTTATTTACTGAAGCGAAAGAAGTATAGATTTTAATTTTGAATATAGGATTTTTTTATTCGGAGAAATTTAAAGTCAGTTATGTAGCTTTTTAGGCGTATACTGAGGTTATTTATTTTGGCAGCTAAAGCTGAGATCGGCTGAGGTTTTGAAATATTTTAATATTAAATTTTAAAAATTTTTTTGGGGTCTTTGTTGTCAGCATTTTTTAGAAATAGGTTAGGGCTTAGGGATAGTTTTATTAATAAAAGAGTACAAGTGGATTTTAGTATGTAATATAGATTTAAATAGAGACACCTAATCTCAAACTTCAGCCAATCTCAGCTTCAGCCGCCACATTTATTTTAATCCCGGGAATCTTAATTCTAACATATGGCACACAAATATGAAAACTCAATAATTTTTTTGTAATGCTTATAATCGAATAAACTTCTTTCTGACTTTTGATAAGATAAAACATTTCACATAGTTTATCTCAATAAAAGATATTAGGTATTTACTGTTGTATCTTATCGATCTTGCCTACATTAATTTTATGATTAGACATTATAATTTTAAAATTTATCTAAATTTACGCTTAATATTTTGTATAGATCTCGTTTTTCACTTTTGCAACGTTCAAAAATTAATTAAAATATAGATCTCGTTTTTCACTTTTGTAACGTTCCAAAAATCAATTAACTTCTATTAATTAACTTCTATTAAATACAGCTTTATGACCATATGCAAAATTATTTTCATTAAATTTGGAATAATGGAGGCTCAACCTGTAGTTATATATTATTTTTACATAATCTATTGTTAAAACGTTGATATATGTATTCAGAATTGTACTAATTATTATTTTCTATAATAAATTCAAAAATTTAGTAAACTTTGACATCTCAAATGAAATTTTAATACGTACATCGTAACGCGACATACCAAGTAAGCGTTTCAATTTAATCAATTCCATGTTCAAATCGTTATTTCCGCACTCCACGCAATATACATAAATGAAATTTTAATACGTATAACTTAACCTGACATACCAAGTAAATGTTTCAATTTGATCAACTCCATGTTCAACTCTTTTTCGTCGCATTCCATTCTGCTCCATGCAAAAATCAATCCACCATACTGAAGTGTTACCCGTCAACTCATTTCTATTTATCATTATATTCTCCAATCGAATATCACCGTGCCTTACTCCTCTTTCATGAATCATTTGTAAACCCGAAATAGCCAACTTCTTTTCTTCTAATGTGACATCGTTTTCTAATTCCGCAAACGATTTTCCAGCAAATGAAATAAAAATGAAGGCGAATGCTTCGTGAAGAATACCATATTTTAGAAGGTTTGGCACGAAAATTTCTTGAATATCCATGAGAGGACCGAGGTAAATTTTAATTTCATTTAACAATTCAGTTACTAGATGCTCATTTTTATACAAGTCTACCATTTTAAGAACGCCTATTTCTTCATAAAACATGACTTTAAAAATGGAACCGGACCGACCACCTCCCAATAAATCACCAAAAGAAATTTGATAGCGTTTATAATTTTTCATATTTTTGAGAAGCTCATCATCGCTGATATTTTTTTCTTTACCTTTCGCTGACATACTACGAGTGATTACCCCCATAGTTTTAAAAATACCTCTTTTCTTAGAAACCGATGGCTGGTCATCATCCTTTTTGCCATGGTTATTATTATCTTTGCTATCGTTACCACCCAAACTAAGGAAATCACTATTGTCTTCAGTATTTGGTGGTGAAGAATGTGTAAACGGATCTGTTGTAGATATATCTTTATAATAACGTACACATTCAGAGAATGAGGCATAATGGTCAGTGTGGCCCTGATTGATATAAATCGCAGGAGAAATGTAAATTGTGTCTGGATTTTCATGCTGACGGTAAAAAAAACCATGTTCTAATGTATGTTGTGAGCAAACCATATCGTAAATCATTAACAACCATGTATCCAAATACTTGTCTAACGATTCGAATGATTTTTTTATATTTTGTTTCGTTATCATTCATTGTCAATGCAGTATTGTATTCCTCAAACAATTCAGTTCCATGACCTATTAAATTTTTCATTAACTGTTCAGGTTTAACTTCTACGATTGAAAGTATCTGAGAAGCTTCGGGATTTTTTAAAAGGTTCTTATCATCTGCACTACAACGTATAGCGTCTGGTCGACCTTTAATTTCCTTAAACATATAAGGTTTGCACCAATGTTCCGGTTTTTGTAAAAGAATTAACCTTTTATTATTAATAGCGTCCATCGTTTTTAAGAACATATCAACAGCAGAATCTTCAGCGGATAAAATGCTATTGAGATCATCAACGTTAGGCTTGCTAAATCTGCGATTGTTTGTATCGAGAGTTGTTGATGAGTTATGGGCATTCGAAAGAAAGTTTTTCCACTTTAAAACTGGTATATTGGGAACTTTTCTCGTTGCTGCTTGTGTCGTGTTTGTTGTTTTAATCTGAAGAAGTTCAGGAACGGGAATAACTACTCGGAAAAGTTCTTCTTCAGTAAGAAGGTCTGTCAAAAGAATGATATATAAGGTACAAAATTGACATTAAAAATAGAGAATATTGGTATATGAAGAGTCTATTAAATGTTAAGCTGTGTTAATTTTTGAAACCCTACCAGGCTTCAAAATTATTTTAGACCTTAAATACTTGAGCTTAAGATTATCATTTGGAAAGCTCTTTAAAACTGGGAATATCTCGGCTTGCTTATCTTTATTTGTGACAAAATAATCTGCCAAGTCAATTAACTCCTCGTCTAACAATCTATTTTCATTTTGGATGCTAGAAAGGTGCGAAAGCAATGTAAAAATGTCTGTAAAAGTAGCGGTTGACATGACTTAGTACTACGTATGTAAAAGGTAAGAACAGTCATCAGTAACGTATAATATATTTATAGAAAATTGACTATCTGTAATTGGTTAGTTCTACTAATTAGAATTTTACAACTGTTAATTAATCTATTTTTTTTT